TTATAGGAACTCCTAACAGAGGACATGGGATTGGAGTTGTATAGATAAGAGGAAGGAATACCAGGTACTATCATAACATCAGCACAGCCTTGCACTTGGTCTATGCATAGTGTTTGGTGGAGAGAAGAAGGAAATTCATCGGGCTAAATAAGATTTACTTTTGGCAATTGAGCACGGGAGTTGAGACTTTACCCCATCGGCACTGGAGAGCCATTATAGATTTCTGAGCAAAGAAATCACAAGATGATATGGGCGTTTTCTGAAGAACTGCGTTGACGGTGGGTTGGAGGTGGGGAGCACTGGAGGAGGAAAGACTTGTTAAGCAATAGCAGAAATCCAAATTTACCTAGGCTGGTAACTAGAGATGAATGTGAAAGACAGGAAGAAAGTGGACTGGAAGGGTGATTTTTTTGATTGCCTGGCCTGTGAAATGACTACGATGGAGGCAGCAAAGGAGACCTTGAGGTTTCCAGCCTGAATGACTCAGCCTGAGGAGGGTGACCTATTGTCAATCAGGTGACTTAGTAAATGGGAAAGACCCAGATTTCAATAAGTATAATCATAGAATCATGGGATTTTAAAGTTGGAAAGGGCTTTAGAGATCATCTATTCTACATGATCATTTTATAGGAGGAGGGGAACTGAGGCAGAGGAAGGATACGTGACTCAGTCTAGGACAGTGAGCATATAGTAGGACAAGAGCGTAAGGAGAACAGATGTCCTCACCCACCAGGTGAGTGATTTATATATATATATATAGAGAGAGAGAGAGAGATACAGATTTATATCAAGGAAATGGCTCATGCAGTTGTAGAGGATGGAACGTCCCAAGTCTGTCAGGATAGAGGCTTCTCCTGATTCATATAGCTGCAGGGGCTGGCAAACCGAAGATCAGCAGATTAGAGAGCAGGGCTCTTGCTCACAGGCTGCAAAGATCAATGAATCCCAAGATCAGCAGGCAAGATTGCAGGAAAGCTGCTAGCTCAAGTCCCAAGAATTGGGGGTCAGACCAACAGGAGCCAGCTGGAGGATCCATTATGAACAAAAAATCACCTGAGTCTTGCCAGAATGTCCACTTATATTTGATACAGGCCACATGCCCAAAGAAACTCCCTTTCGATTGACTGGCTACTCACAGCAGATCCATCATGGGGGTGATCACATACCAAATCTCAACATGGAAGCGATCCCATTATATGACTGCCAAAACACAGAATCATGGCTTAGCCAAGTTGACACACAATCTTAACCATCACGCCTGTCTTTCCCAATGTACATCAGTTGAGGATAAAAATATAACCACAGAAAGAATGACAAAACTGTTTTCCTGCCTCTGCCCTCACCTACTTGCCAGAATTAAAACCATCTTTTTATTAGAGTTCTCTTGCATTTGGACTGGGCTACAGTCCACAGAGTGGGAGTAAGGGGGCCACTAAGGGAGGGTGAGGGACTCCGAATCACAGTCTCTTCTGTCCCTTGGCCTTAAATCAAGGCTTGACAATAGTAGCAAGGACATGGACCACCTTTCTTTGAAATAAACAGGCGATACTTCAATTCTCATTTACATTTAAAGTATCCTGTAAAAGCGGTTTAAAGCTTCCTCTCTAGCTAGATTACGACTCCTTTCCCATGTAGACGACTTTGCAGCTGATGTTCTATTCCCTTAAGATGGGAGACTGTGTGGAAGATGACTCAGTCCCTCACAGCCGATCTGCAGGGCTGTCTCACTGGGCTCCAGAGAGGCCCCACGCCTCAATCGGGCTGAGCTCAGTCTGGTTAGCTGCTGAGAAGGCCTGTGGAAACGATCACCAAAGATTTAGCAAGACTTGACTCATTTCCTCCTAAATATGAGCTAATGGAAAGAGCACTGCACTATGGTCAAAGGATCTGGGGCTACTTCTACAAATAGCGAGGTGAACAAGTCACTCTACACGGCCTATTTGCTCAACTGCCAAATTAGAGGTCTAGGAGGATTCCAAGGAGCCCCTGGTGGCGTAATGGTTAAGCGCTGGGCGGCTGACCAAATTGTTGGCGGTTTGAACCAACCATAAGGATTATAGCCTGCGAAACCCTATGGGCATCTCTACTCTGTCCTACAGGGTCGCTATGAGTCGGAATCTATTCAAGGGCACCCAACGACAACAGTAGGATTCCTTCCAGGAACGCAAGATTCAAAAATTGGACAGGATTGGCAACACTGCTTGAGCGAGCCCCTCACGGTCCTGGCACGAAGCACCGCACAGGAAAGGCCTAGCTCGGGATTGCCTGGCGACCGCTGCCCGCCCAGTCGCGGAGCGGTCAGGGTGCGGCGTGCGCGCGTCTCCGCCGGGCGCGGCGTGC